CATTTATGAAGGGAATGAAGGATGTCAGAAAAGTTGATTATATGGCTGCTGCTTTAGAGGGTTATACAGTTTCAGAACCTGAAAGCATCTCCACTGCTTTTTTTGCCCCCTTAAGGGAAGATGCTGTTGGGAAATGAAAAACATGGTTTGAGAGAAGCGTGGGAAATGGGGAGCATGCCAGTCCTTCCTGCTTACCCCGTGAGTGTGGGGGTGGGATTTGTATGTGTGTACATGCCTGTGCATGCATGTGTGTGTGTGTGTGTGTGTGTGTGTGTTGGGGGAAATGGGATTTTGAGTCACAGAAGGGCACAGGAAATGGCTATCATTGGATAGGGTTTTACCAGGAACTCCAAGCTTTAGTTATAAGTGAGTGGCAGGAATGATTAAATAAGAGGATGTAGTAAACTTTGTTCACAGTACACTAATAGGTATAATATAGTTAATAAGGGAAGGAGAAAGGCTGAAGATAAAGCTGTGAGTACAGGAAGAGAAAAGAAAAAGGAAAGGGCTGTGGCTCAGGGTCAAACTTGTGACTAAAAGGGACAAAGCAAACGGGAAGCTATGAGGTAGACGTTAGCATAAACTTCCAGGGTTTTTTCTTTGAAATACGTATTGAACTATTCTTCATATAATCTTCAGCTACATTTTGGTACAAAACTTCTGATCCTAAGAGGAGTTATACAAAAGCATGTAAGAGTAATTCCAGACCTTTAGAAATGTACACCTTACTTAGAGAGATAAAAATAAGTACAAATAGGCTGGGCACAGTGGCTCACACCTATAATCCCAGCACTTTGAGAGGCAAAGGCAGGCGGATCACCTGAGGTCAGGAGTTCAAGACTAATGTGGCCAACATAGTGAAACCTTGTCTCTACAAAAATACAAAAATTAGCCAGGCATGATGGTGGTAATCCCAGCTACTTGGGAGGCTGAGGAGGGAGAATCACTTGAACCCAGGAGGCAGAGGTTGCAGTAAGCTGAGATTGCACCACTGCACTCCAGTCTGGGCGACAGAGTGACACTCCATCCTAAAAACAAATAAAAATAAGTACAAATAATGACAAGGCCAGGTAATACATACTAAATACGAGAGAAGAGCAACACAGAGAATAAGTGCCATAAAATGATTAGATTCTTTTCACGTTAAGAGTCAAGTCACAGCAGATTCCTCCTTGCACTCTCCTATGATACCTCTGACTCACTGTAGTAACACTTAATCTCTCTGTTCTATAGAAGTGGTAACAGTTTCATAAAACTCTGTTACTTATCTGGTTGTATTGGTTCTTAGTTAAAAGCTCCCTAAAAATTAGTGAAAGACTTTATTTTTGGAGAAACAGTAAGATGATAAAAATCAGTGTTTTTAAAACTTCATTGATATGATTTGGCTCTGCATCCTCACCCAGATCTCATGTCGAATAGTGATCCTGAGTGTTGGTGGAGGGGCCTGGTGGGAGGTGACGGGATAATGTGGGTGGATTTCCCCCTTGCTATTCTCATGATAGTGAGTTCCCACATGATCTGGTTGTTTAAAAGTATGTAGCACTTCCTGCTTCACTCTCTCTCTCCTGCCACCATGTGAAGACGTGCTTACTTCCCATTTGCCCTTCTGCCATGATTATAAGTTTCCTGAGGCCTCTCCAGGCATGCCTCCTGTACAGCCCGCAGAACTGTGAGTCAATTAAACCTCTTTTCTTTATAAATTACGCAGTCTCAGGTAGTTCTTTATAGCAACATGAGAATGAACTAACACATTTATCTTGAAGAATTTCAAACACATACCCAAGTACACAGCATAGTATAATGAACCCCATATGCCCATCAACAGCCTCAAGAGTTTTCAACAAATGCCCAATCCTTTTCACTTCTCTCCCTGTGTATAATTTTGAAGCAAATCTCACAGTAAATACTTTAAAATACCTCTCTCAAAGCTAGTATTCCTTTATAAAAACACAACCAGGCCAGGCACAGTGGCTCATGCCTGTAATTCCAGCACTCTGGGAGACCAAGGCAGGCAGATCATCTGAGGTCAGGAGTTCGAGACAGCCTGACCAACATGGAGAAACCCTGTCTCTACCAAAAATACAAATTTAGCCAGGCATGATATTACATGCTTGTAATCCCAGCTACTAGGGAGGCTGAGGCAGGAGAATTGCTTGAACCCAGGAGGCGGAGGTTGTGGGTGAGCTGAGATTGCGCCATTGCCCTCCAGCCTAGGCAACAAGAGCAAAACTCCATCTCAAAAAATAAAAAACATAGCCAAATACCAATTATCATACCTAAAAAGTTAACATATTTTTAATGTCAAATATCCAGTCTTCAAATTTCCAACTGTCTTATAAAAACCTGAAATTACTTCTAAAAATATTTTATAATTTATGCCAGAAACAAAATGAAAGCACCAACCTATTACAGAGTCAATGGCATAAATGAGAAGCCAAATGATGTGTCTGACACTCAAGGACTGTCTACTGCTAGTAAACCTGTCTACAGCCTTTACTCTGCACTAGCATTGCTTTAGGGGTTGTACATACATGAACCCATTTAACTCTACAATATAGGTGAATTACCAAGAGCACCACCTTACAGATGAAGAATGTGAGGCCCAAAGAGGTTACTCAACCATGTCTAATATCACCCAGCAAATATAAAGAGATAAATAAAATGTGTTCTATTCATACAATCGAATATTTTTCAGCCAGAAAAAAAGTATTGAAAGATGCTATCACATCGATGACCCTAACCATTGTGGAAGACAGTGTGGCGATTCCTCAAGGCCTTAGAAATAGAAATTCCATTTGACCCAGCAATCCCATTACTGGGTATATATCCAAAAGACTATAAATCGTTCTACTATAAGGACACATGTACACAAATGTTCACTGCAGCACTGTTTACAATAGCAAAGACCTGGAATCAATCCAAATGCCCATTGATAATAGACTGGATTGGAAAAATGTGGCACATATACACCATGGAATATTATGCAGCAATCAGAAATGATGAGTTCGTGTCGTTTGTAGGGACATGGATGAATCTGGAAAACATCATCCTCAGCAAACTGACACAAGAACAGAAAATGAAACACCGCATATTCTCACTCATAGGTGGGTGATGAAAAATGAGAACACATGGACACAGAAAGGGGTGTACTAAACACTGGGGTCTATTGGGGGGAAAAGGGGAGGGCCAGTGGGAGGGGGAGGTGGGGAGGGATAGCCTGGGGAGAAATGCCAAATGTGGGTGAAGGGGAGAAGAAAAGCAAAGCACACTGCCATGTGTGTACCTACGCAACTGTCTTGCATGCTCTGCTCATGTACCCCAAAACCTATAATCCAATAAAAAATTAAAAAAAAAAAAAAAAAAAAAAGAAAACGTTATGCTGAGTGAAAGAAGCCAGTTACCAAAGACCACATATTATATTGTTTTGTTTATATGAAATGTCTATAATAGGAAAATCTATATAGAGTCAGAAAGTAGATTAGTGGCTGTCCAGGGCTAGAGAGAAGAGTAGAAGGGAGTGACTGCTAATGGGTCCAGGGTTTCTTTCTGGGGTGATGAAAATGTTCTACAGTTGGATTGTGGTGATAGTTGCACAACTCTGTGAATACACTAAAAACCACTGAATTGAGCACTTTAAATGGTGAAGTTTATCATATGAGATTATATCTCAATAAAGCTGTTTTGAAAGTACATTCTCAAAAGATTTAAAATTTATCAAACCAAGGAATATTGATTAATCACTTACACAAGCACTACACTTGGTTCTATGCAAGTTACAAAAGAAATGTAAGACACAACCCCTAATCTCAAATTGGTTATAGTTCAAGAGCAAAGGCACACATGCCATATATTATAATTTACTTTTGCTTTCTAAATTGTGCCCTTTTCTCAAAGGGGCAATCAACTGTCTGAACCAAGTTTTTGCCTTATAAAAGGCACTGAGTTAGGGTGTAATGAACATATGAGCTATTATAAGACTGATCCTTTTCTCCTTGCCCGCGGAGGCCTTTGGAGGTTCCGATCAACCACAAAGTTATCTTGTGAGAGAGCAACCAATAGGCCTCCTGGAGAGCTGAGGCTGGGCTGATTCACCTTGTAACTGAAATAATGTAAGTAAATGTGTTATGACTCAACAGAGGCCAGGGCAGCTTGACAAGCCTAGGATAAGGTAAAACCAACAGGTCTGGTCCTCCTCCCTGGGTTTAGGAATGCTCAGGGTAAACAAATTACAGAGGTTTTCCTTTACTATGCCTGCTGAAGAGCAAAGAAGATCCTTGATGAAGATCAGAGAATTGCAGCCATGAAACTTGTGAGTGTTTAGAGAAGGGAGATAAAGGCCAACATAGGAGATACAATCTGCAGAAAGGGACAATTTGGGGATCTGAGGTTACACAAAGTAATCACAACACTGAAGAGGTACCTGGTGGATCGTTCACAACCAGGAAGGTTTCTTGGAGATAGCATTTATCTTAAATGAATAATGAGAAAACTGCTGTTCAAACTCAAAGTACCTGGGTACCAGGGACTTACGGATATAGGGCTTGGTTCTTCCCAGAGGGTACTGGAACAATGTCTAGCATAATGTCCAATGAACCCATAAAGCTTACATGCCACATAGATTCTAAAGCCAGATGTCAACAACAGAAACATGTTTGAATTTTATAGATGTGAATTCAGCCTAATTTTATGATAAGAATTTGAATTCTCTGAAAATTTCAGATAACAGTGGCAATCAGAATCTTAAATGTTTACTGTTTGAGACAGAACTACAAATGAAACTCTAATCAATAAAGTAGAAACTCACATTTTGAGCATTACCAATTATGCATCTTTCCTGAACAGCCCAGAAAGAACATTTCATCTGGATCAAGTGGCTTGGGCCCAGAGTGACCTGATGAATCAGCAGACTGCACTGCAACATAACCCTATAGCCAAGCTGCTTCAAATAAACCACAATCCCATTTGAACTACAATCGATACCATTACAATGGTCTCCTTACCTTTCACCACATCTGCTACATTACAGGTGGGATCGATACTTCCTATGTGTTTAGGATGAGCAGGGTTTGTGTCACCACCAAACAGAAGTGCTAGACGAACACAAAAGGAAAGGGAGGGGATTAAAATACAGCAGGTTGGGCTGGTCATGCAGGGAAATATAGGGGCTTATGTTTGGAAAGGATCTCTTACTTGTAAAAATCATTTTTGCATCCACAGCAACTTACAGCAATGGAATACACAAAATTGATGGGTGAGCGACTTTTATTGGCCAATGAAGGAGGAGGATGTGCTTTAGGCCTGTCTATTGCAGCCAGCAGGTTCTAAAGCAGTGACACATGCCAGGTGCCCAACCCGTTCTTTCTCACCCGATGTGATGCGGATGAAGAAACTTACTTTCATCCTTAGTCAAGTATACCCACCTAGTACTACTCCAGACATTTATTCCAACTTTCATTAAATATTTAGAACACATGGTCTATACTATTTGGAGAAGCCTGCAAAGTGTCTTCGCTGGTGGTATTTCAGATGCCTCCCCCATGGAGATTATGCTTCAATGATGTGTACATGAACAATACTTGCTCAAGTATTTTTTAAAATACACTCAGATAATTTCACAATATACAAGATTTGCAAGATTTTGTTTCTGAATAAAAGCCAAAAGAATCCCCAAAGAAAAAAAAGTAATCTGCGTCCAAATATAGGTGTTCTTATTTTTAAATCAAGCAAAAATTGAGACTAACAAAAGAAGGATGCCTAAATAAAATAGGGGAGATTTTAAACTACGAAAAATGATAAATACAGGCATTAAGCCAATTAATACAGTTCCAACTGACTAAGGGGAAGAAAAACAGAGGTGTGTAGGCTGAATTAATGATCTAAAAGCATGCCTGTATATGTGCGTACATGTGTATTTAGATCAGAAAGTAATTGGAGTTATCTAACTAGTTTAGTTGAATAGTATTTAGGTTCTTTTATTCCTGTAAATTGTCATACATTTCCATTTTGAATATATACATTTAATATAAAACTACATCTAATAGTTGTATAATATTCACTTATCCAAATAAATCAGATTAGTAAAATAAAGATGCTTTGTCCATTTTGTGATTCAGCAAAGAGGGTGAATTATGCTCTAGACACGTGGATGCTTCTCCTTAAGGATTATCAACTCAGCCAAAGACACAGTGCTGAAGATGAGCCAAAAAGTTTTTTGGTGGGGGGGGAATTTTAGGTTTTTTTTTTTCCTATCTGCTTAGCACCTTAGTACCCTAAAGAGCAGACTAAAACTCAATACAGGATTGACAGTCTGGCTTAATCTGACTTCACTGATCACTGTGAAGTAAAGAACTGATGGCTTCTATTGCCAACATCCAATTCAATATTCCCAGTGTCAGTGTTTTCAAAACTAAAAAGGAAAACATATAACATCCTGGATAAAGAAAAGAATACAATCTGAGATACATGAAAATATTCAGAGATGAAGGCCCGGTTGCCTCATCCCCATCAGGACCATATCAGCAGAGGTTTAAAAGGTAGGCAATGGTCCCGTCTCTAATGTGAGCATCATAAAAGCCTTTCAAAAATTTCTTTTAACCAAGAATATAAATTAATCACTTTTTAATGGCTAGGACTCACTTAGGAAAAACTAAACTAGAAATGAAATTTCTACAACCAAAAATGCAGGCCAGTAAATTAACAACAGGAATACATTTGAGAGAAATCACTCTGGTTACCTTTTCAAAACTGGACCAACAAAACCCAACTTACTGTGCTGGTTAATAAGCATGCGGAAAGAGATGCGGTTGGTATAAAACCGATCCAGAAAATACTGGATGTTAGTGCTAGTAAAAGGATCAAACCCAAACTTCTCCTTGTATTCAATCACTCCTTGTGCCATTGTAGGAACCACGTCATTGTGTCTATTTCTGACTTTAATCAGAACTTGTAGAAAGCTGTGTGAGAGGGAAACAAAACGTGGTCAGTCTTAATATCTCACAGGCTGATGCACAGACTTCCCACCTCTGTCCCCAGTCTAAGTTGTCGGCTGATATTTTTATAAGCAGAGACATTATTCTTCATACTACGAGGACCTACTCACAAGAAACTAAAGTATGAAACAACTTTTTGCTTGAAACTTTCTTTCTACAAAACTCTTCTTTCAGAGGTGCAAAAAGTAAAAGGTTCCAGTACAGAAAAATAATGCTCAAATACCCTTTTAGGAATCCACTGACTTTTTGGATAAGTGATTACATATAATATAGGTTCTATAAAAGTTGAATAAAGAATTGTAGAACATATCAATATTTCTCCTGAGAACATGAGGATAATCCCCCCAAAATCACCAAGGATTGGCTAATGAAATCTCAAAGCAATAGCTTCCATGGGTAAAGAAATAATGTCACATAGTTTAAGAGTAAAATTTTGTAATAAATATCTCACAGCAGTAAAATATAGTGAAGAAATGTAGATAGAACACAGGCAATTAAAACAAACTATTCAAGTGTCTGGCATATTATTATAAACATGCATAGAGGAAAATACATTAAGAATGGCAGAAGACGAGTCAGTCAATGGAACTAAATAAAAAGTTTAGAACTAGGCCCATGAGTGAGTGCATATGTATATATAAAAATTAAGCATATTGAGAAAGTGACATTGCAAATCAGTAGATAAACAATCAAGCTAATAATCAAGTTAAGTGGAACAGCAGGCTAACAATTTAAGTCACATCCTAATTTCAAGCTTTAAACCAAATACTGGATTAAAAATGCAAAAGGGTGAAATCACAGAAATGATAACAGAAAAAAATCAGGTGAATAAATATATAATTTTGGGGTAAGGAGAGATGCTCTAAGCTTAATACCAAAGGCAGAAACAAATAATGTGAAGAAACAAATGATATGACTATGTAGAATTTTAGCAATCCTATAGGGACACATATCAATAAACGAAGTGAAAAAACAAAAAACTTTAAAAAAGGAAAAAACTAGCACTCCTTCAAAAAACTAGGCAAAGGATCTGCTATCAATGGAAAATTTACCAAAGAAGAAGCACAAATGCCAATAACTTCACCCTTACAAATAAGAAAAGCAAATTAAAACAATGTGATACTTATTCTCCATGTATCAGCATCAGCTAGAGTTTAGGGCTTAACTGACACATTTCTCAGAACAATTTGGCAACATACAGGAAAAGCCCAAAGAAAACGATTCCACTTCCAGGAATTGATCCTAGGAAAATAACAGGACAAGGTGAAAAACTATTTATTTTTGAGACAGAGTCTTGCTCTGTTGCCCAGGCTGGAGTGCACTGGCATGATCTTGGCTCACTGCAACCTCTGCCTCCTGGGTTCAAGCAATTCTCCTGCAGTCTCCCAAGTAGCTGGGATTACAGGTGCCCACCACCACACCTGGCTAATTTTCATATTTTTAATAGAGACAGGGTTTCACCATGTTGCCCAGGCTGGTCTCGAACTCCTGGCCTCGGGTGATCCACCCACCTCGGTCTCCTAAAGTCCAGCACTTTACAGGCATGAGCCACTGAGCCCAGCCAACAGCTGTATTTAAAAGCTGTTCTTTAAAGTATTGTTTATAGTAGCACAAAAACTACAAAACTGTCTAAAATCCAGTGATAGAAGATCAAATCGCATGAACTATCTGAAGATGGACTATTAATATGAAACTATTAATAATGTTGACACTTGTTATGTCTGTAAAAATATTTTACACATATAAACATATGCCTGCCTAGGGAAAAGCATGGAAGAAAGGAAAATATTAATAGTGGTTGTCCCCTGGTAGTAGAGATTGGGGTGACTTTCTTTTTACTTATCTGAGTAGTCTTATTTTTCTGAATGATGGAACATTTCTGCAACAAATGTGATACTTATTCTCCATGTATCAGCATCAGCTAGAGTTTAGGGCTAGAGTTTACATACAATGACAATAAAGATGTAAAACTCTGAAATTAGGCCATCATTATTCACAAAAAATTTTATAATGGACGTTTTTTCCTTTATGTAATACTCATTCCAATGTATTTGTAAGTTAAATATTACTAAAGTGAAACAAGTCATTATAGTAGAGAAGTGCCTCAACTTATTTGAAGGGGGGAAACTTACCTCAATGGCTCAAAATTCTCCCTCAATCTTCCAGACTCTTCTAAACTCTATCATAAATGATCAACGTGCTTATCTTCTAAGCTTCTTTTGCTTTACTAAAATGATTTCCCTGCTGGTGATCCCACACAACCTCTTGCTAAAAAGAAAAGGCTGCTACCATGATACTCACTTACCTTTCACTCCTTCCTTCACTAAGGACATCAGCCTTCTCAAATGCCAACTATCCTAACTAGCCACATGAACCTGGGCAAGTTCCAAAACTCACAAAGTGAGAGCTCAGCTATTATTGCAATGGTCAAGCACACGCTGGATTCAGCACTGACAGTTTGCAAAGCAGACTCATGGCTGTAAATTGCATCTGCTAACCTATTCCAGAAACTGAGACGAGACTCCGGGAAAAACATAGCAGAAATTTAATATCATGTACAGTTGTCTCTGAGTATCTGCAGAGGACTGGTTCCAGGATCCCCGCAGATATACCCAAATCCTTGGATGCTCAAGTCCCTTATCTAAAATAGTACGTATAGCCTAGTCACATCCTCTCAGATACTTTAAATCATCTCTAGATTAGTTATAATAACTGATACAATATAAATGCCATATAAATAGTTGTTAGACTGTATTTAAAAAATCTGTATTATTGTTGAGCGCGGTGGCTCATGCCTGTAATCCCAGGACTTTGGGAGGTCAAGGTGGGCAGATCACCTGAGGTCAGGAGTTTGAGACCAGCCTGACCAACATAGAGAAACCCCGTCACTACTAAAAATATAAAATTAGCCAGGTGTGGTGGTACATGCCTGTAATCCCAGCTACTCGGGAGGCTGAGGCAGGAGAATCACTTGAACCCGGGAGGCAGAGGCTATGGTGAGCTATCATGCCATTGCACTCCAGCCTGGGCAAAAAGAGCAAAACTCCATCTCAAAAAATATTTTTTCTGTTATTTCTTATTTTTATTATTTTTTATTGCTTTTTTTCCCAAATATCTTTTTGATCTGTGGCTGGTTGAATCCAAGGAGGTGGAACTTGCCAATACAAAAGACCAACTATACTTCTACAAATCTGTTCTAAAGTCTGGAGCTAGAGGGGTCAGCCCTAGGTTTTAGGATTTCCACCGAACGGTTACCAGCTAATGACTTTTAAGAAAACAAAGCTCCTAGATTGAATTTATTTCATTTTGATAGCTTAAATGACAGCAGTGGCTTATATGAAGGAAAATGCTGCATCTGGGGCTCTAACCCAGTGCTTCCCTGCCTTCCACATTTCACAGATCCATTAGACAAAACGCCCAGCAAAGCAAAAAATAGGTGAGGGCTTTTGTTTTTCCTTTGAATAGTAGTTTACAACTAGACTAGACCTAGCTACTCATGGCTCAAACATATGACATAACTTATAGGTCCAGCTCTGCTATGAAGGGTCACAATCTTGGGTAACTCACTTCACATCTCTGACCTCAGTTTTCTTATCTGTGGATTGAGAGGACTGGGTTAAATATCTCCTAAGGTTGCTTGTATATGATGGCGTTTCCCTAGTTCTTCTGATGGAACATCTATTAAGTCAGGTGTTCAGTCTCACAGCTATGTGGACTGGTTTATACTTAGAAATTCCTCAGCACAACAGGCCTGTCATATGCATCCACTCACATATACATAAACAGGAAGAAATTAATGTGAAAGCGATATTTAATTTTTCTTTGGGGGAAAAACACAGCTACAGTTAGTATTCCTAGGATAAATAAAAATGAAAAACAGAACTATCTCAACGGCATAATTTGCCAGTCTGTGCATAATGGCAGCAATAGAACTCAGCTTGCTGTATAAGAAACACACTCTTTTCTGCTTCTCCAAAATAAAACCACTATAGTTTTTGAGCTAAAATGTAATATCCCATTGAAATTTTAATTGTAAAGGATTGAGTAGATAAATTCATGTATATACAAAGGCTACTGCATTCTTAAAACTACCACTAGATGGAACATTTACTGCAGTATTTACACTGAGTGCCCAGTTCACCTTGGGTAAAGGTATTAGATCATAAAAGGAAAACTGAATAAGATATTAAAAAATTAGATCATAAAAGCAAAACTGAAAGTGTTATTACTTTTGTATTGTGTTACATTCTTAACTCAAATTTAAAAGCAACTCAATGTTGGGTCATTACTCATTAAGAAAATGAATGCTTTTTTCCAATTCATACTCCCTGAGTCTTCATGACCTGAATTACATTTACCAAAATCTTTCTTACCTAGATATTTTTATTTTCAGGTAAGTGGTACCATACTTACTTATCCAAGACCTTTGGATCCTCAGGACTCTTATTTTCATATTCCAAAAGTTCAAGAAAACTCTGCATGTACCTAAAAAGAACAAAAAGAGTTACTATGTTAGTCGCCTACCCAGCATCCATCCCTCCTCCTCCTCCTCTTCCTAAGAGCACTCCAAATTTTCACTCAGGTCTCCATCCCATCCCCATCCCCCTATGCGCCTCAAGTGCATCCAGGAAGCCGGTACCTCCAAAGATCCTGGGTGGTCCAATTTTTCTCTGGGCAATCCTATTTCTCTTGTCACTAATTATTCATTAGTCCAATAGTTTAGGTCTAAGCCTATCACTGTGTGCATTCCCCTGAACACAGGGAAAGGCTCAGGAATGGACATACTGTCTCAATTTGGGCCAGTAAAATGACAAAAAAGACTCGCTAGAGGACTCTGGCAGAGAAACCAACTTGCTCTGCTTTTGTACAGTGTGCTGTGTGGATTAGAAGCCTGGAAATGCTGCAGCTATTCTACCACCAGGAGGGAATCCAGTCTGAAAATGAAGCCAACACCAGCAAAAGCAGGACCTCAATAGCTTCATGAATCTCTGAATCAAACCAACACCAAAAGCCCACCCGGCGGCTGGACCTTCTAGCGACATGAGTCAGGTTTAGTTGCATTTTCTCTACTTAAAGACGTATCCTAAGTTATATACCAAGTCTACAGTTTGATTACCCAAAAATGTGCATATACATTTTAAGAAGCACATGTGTGACACTGAAGTGCCTGCCAAGAACTTAGAAACTAGAAGTGAAGAAGGGTCCTTCTGAGTTAGATTAATTTCATTAACACTTAATGGGGGAAAAGGAATGCCAATTAAACCCTCAGAAACAGCTTCTGGATTAAGATAGCTGCATATCTCAATCAGGACCAGTATAAGAAACTGTGTGCCTAACATTAAGATCTGGAGAACATAGAAAAACGAGATTCAGAGAGGCCCATTAGTGCAGCAGCTACATCTAGCCAGGACCTGTTGGATCTAGTGGAGATTCAGATATTCCAATATACGATCTCTATTTGGGGTTTTAACATGTCCTGAAAGAATTATCCCTTTATTCCAATTATTTCTAACCATTAATTGCCACTAATCCTATTATCTACCTTTGGATAGAGGATGAGTACACTCCAGAAACTAAAAATGACTGTTACACATATAAATACTCCAACAAGAATGCCACTTGATTCATTAGCCTCATGTGAACTTTGGACAATGCATCTGATACTAATAAACGTTCATCACTGGACATTATTTTTTAAAAGTCTCTGGGGGCCGGGTACGGTGGCTCATGCCTGTAATCCCAGTACTGTGAGAGGCTGAGGTGGGCAGATCACTTGAGGCCAGGAGTTCAAGACCAGCCTAGCCAAAATGGTGAAACCCCGTCTCTAATAAAAATACAAAAAAATTAGCTGGGTATGGCGGCACACGCATGTAGTCCCAGCTACTCAGGAGGCTGAGTCAGGAGAATCACTTGAACCCAGGAGGCAGAGGTTGCAGTGAGCCAAGATTGTGCCACTGCACTCCTGTCTGGGTGACTGAGCAAGACTCTATCTCAAAAAATAAATAAATAAAAAATAAAACTCTTGTTGGGAGTTTGAGACCAGCCTAATCAACATGAAGAAACCCTGTTGCTACTAAAAACACAAAATTAGCCAGCCATGGTGGTGCATGCCTGTAATCCCAGCTACTTGGGAGGCTGAGGCAGGAGAATTGCTTGAACCTGGAAGGCAGAGGTTGCGGTGAGTCAAGATCACGCCATTGCACTACAGCCTAAGCAACAAGAGCAAAACTCCACCTCAAAAAAATAATAAAATAAAAGTCTCTGGGCATATAAGGCAATGGATTAGATAATGTTAAACTCATTGGGTCAAAACACCAAGAGGTCAAAGCCAGCCAGCCCCAGTGATTCCCTTCGCCCTGCCACATGCAAGCAAGCTAGGTAGGCATCCTGTCCTTTCCAAAGGGGACAGTTCGAGAAAGTCATAAATAGAAACAAGCCAAAGATTATTCTGAGGTTCTCAGCCTGACAGTCAAGAGAGCAGGGTGGACACACTGTGACCAAGGGGATGGTGGTGGTGGGGTCCGCAGCCCATTATGCATAAGATTTGCTTTTAAAAGGAAAAAAATGGCAGTGAAATACAATGCATGATCCTGAAATGGATTCCTAAATCAGGAGAAGAAATTGCTAAAAAAAAAAAAAAAAAAAAGAAAGAAACAAAAAAAGAAAAGATGGGGGCATTATCAAGACAATTAGTAAAGTGAGAACAAGTTCTACATATCAGAAGACATTACTGTATCAATGTTAAATTTCCCAAATTTGATGATCACATTGTGGTTTTCTAAGACCTGTTCCAATGAAACACATGCTAAAGTATTCAGGGCAAAGGGGCATGATGTAGACATTGTGTATGTATACCATACATGGGTGTGTGAACCATATACAGACACAGATATATATACACATATGTGTGCACACGTGTGTGTGTGCGCACACGCATGTATGCAGAGAGAGAGAAAGAGAGAGAATATGAATGACAATGATAGAGCATGGCCAAATGTTAACAATTAGTGAATCTACGGGAAGGTATATGGGAATTCTTTCTGCCAGTTTTGCAACCCTTATGTTAAGCAGGAAAGTATTTCAAAATGAATGTTTAAGAAACAAGAAGGAAGAAATGGCATGCATTTATTTGGAATGGATATGGCAAAAGAACGGTTAAAAGACAAAAACAAAAAAATAGAGTTGGCATAGTAATTTGTTTGAGCCTATACTTTGCCAGTATAATATAATACATTTAAGTACATTTGGTCTTTGTTTCTGCTTCTTGGCACAGCGCTCCTAAAACTCTTGGAACTTCCTGAGTGATAGGAGTCTCTTCTGCTATCCATAAGAAGCCCCCCTTGACCACACCTGAGTTTATGCTAATGTGGTAATGTAGGATGGACCTCTAGATAGCTTCAGGATGGGGCTGGTCACCAGAAAGGGCAAGTGATTCAAGAACTGGAACTTCCAGCTCTATCCTCGACCTAGGGCTTCCAGGTTGATGAACATATGAGGATACTGGGAGGGTGGTGTGTCCAGAGTAGACATGGAAACTCCATGCACCCCCCCATACCTTGCCCTATGCACCTCGCCCAGGTGGCTGTTCCCAAATTGTACTCTTTCCAATAAACCTATAAACATAGGTAAAGTACCTTCCCGAGTTATGTGAGCCATGCTAGCAAATTATCAAATCTGAGAAAAGGGGCGTGGAAACTCAAGGTACAGCCACTCAGTCAGAAGCACAGGTGGCCCAGGATTTGTGATTGGTGTCTGTAGTGAGGGAGAGTCTTGTGGGGTTGAGCTGAAAAGCTGTGGGGTATGCACTAAGTCCAGGTAGGCACTGTCAGGATTGAACTGAACTGCTAAACCCACTTGCCGTCCAGAGAATCAGAATTGGTTGTTGATGTTGGAAAACACCAAAGAGCCCAGCAATTCACTTTGAAGCCCCTGACCCAGCCTGTATACAAGCAACAGTAAATCTTTAACTGTCACCACCACCAGGATTAAGGGACTTGATCTTGCCTACCTAGAATCCCCTCCACGGTGGCCTCTAACTGTGAATTTATACTTTCTACTGGAAAATCTCTAATGATAGCCTTGAAGCAATAAAGAAGTCTCATGCAAACAAGAACTTGCTACTCTTTCTGAAACAAGCTATGGAACCAGAGCAGGATGCAAGGAACTATAGTATCCAAGCCACTATCACAGTCACTTTGATTTCTCCTGCGTTCCAAAGACTGCATGCCACACAGTGAGAAGCTACTGCTTGTCTGGAAAAGAGACTTGATGTTGTACTTCTGAGACCACACAATATAGTGTTGCTCAGACAATTCACTTTAACCCTATACACTCATTATAATTAATATTATGGAGGAATGGCTATTGAATGTCCATTCTTTTCAGTAGACTGGCCTCCACTACCCCTTTATATGTGAGCTAATTAATAGTTCCATTTTCCTTATATCTGTCCACACCACTCCCTTCTAAAATGCTCTCCCTGTAACCTGCAATCTGTCAATTCCACCACCCACCAAGGGGCAGTGTGGTATCACAGCTTGCATTTCTGTCCACTTCTCTGTGCTCCGACAGCACTGCTGCTTGCTTGAGAGGACTGATGGCATCTGACCTCTCAAACTCCTCCAGCTTTCTTCACAGTGACTTCTACTTTGCTTTGCTTTTATTTATTTATTTATTTATTTATTATTTACTTATTTTTGAGATGGAGTTTTGCTCTGTTGCCCAGACTGGAATACAGTGGCATGATCTCAGCTCACTACAATCTCTACCTCCCGGGTTCATGTGATTCTCCTGACTCAGCCTCCTGAGTAGCTGGGATTACAGGTGCGTGCCACCACACCCAGACAATTTTTTGTATTTTTAGTAGAGATAGGCTTTCACCACGTTGGCCAGGCTGGTCTCAAACTCCTGACCTCAAGTGATCTGCCCACCTTGGTCTCCCAAAGTGCTGGGATTACAGGCGTGAGCCACCATGCCTGACCTCTACCTTGCTTTTAAAACATAGAGTAGACCTGCAAATGTTTCTCAAATGCTGTATATGCAAGTCCCTTTCTAAAAACACAGCACTTGCTCTTACATCCTACCATTCATTAATCTCACCCTGCTTACCTAGGAGGTAACTTTGCATCACAAATTCAACTTCTTCAGTTAAATGACTGATGCTTTAAGGTCTATAAACTGATTTAAGTTTATAGACCTTAAAGCATCAGTACTATAACTGATTTAAGTTTATGTTACACTGTCAAAATTTTTCATACTTTTCATGGAGCAAATAAAATATAGCAGGGAACTGATATTTTTCCAATCTGAAGTTCCCCTTTAAACGACTTAATCTGTTCTACCAGGAGTACTGCCTTCAAGGAATGTCTTTACAAGGAAAACAAAAGGAGTAACGTTAACACTTAAAAGCAGCAAACATCCTGTCTGAAGAACTGCAATCCCACCACACACAAGAAAAATTCAAGAAAGTGTCAAGAAAGCACAACGTACAAGCATTTTCATTAAAACAACTTGAAAATGAACAGCTCAATAAGAAAAAAAAAAACAACTTTTAATTGCATGGAAAACCCAACTGTCCCAAATGACTCATTCCCAGACAGGCAGTTTGTGCACTTCTACAGAGAATGGTCCCGCTGCCAAATGTTCATAGCATTGTGGGAAGATCCATTTTAAGCCACATTGTTTACTTACCAGCTCTGAACCAATCCCACTGAAGGGCGGTTAAGTAAATTATCCGGCAGAAGATTAACTTCTCTCATTGTGTTAGCCAGTCGCACGGGAAGTTCCTTTCGTAGAAACATGTATGAAGTTTTCTCACATGCATTATCTCTCCCTATTAAGACATGAAAAATGTTCCATGATTTTATAGTCTAACAGATGGAGAAATAAAATGCTTCCAGGGTAGCACAGTTACTACTGGTTGGGAAGATAAAATTAAATAATCCTGCCATCTCTAGTTGAACTTTTATCCTTTGAAATAGCAAGTTCAAGAAAATAATGTAATTAGTAGAGAGAAAGAACATTACAAGAGGCAACCTTGAAAGCAGTTTTTCTTTCTTAACACAAAAATGTTCCTAGTGTTAACCAGTGGCAATATAAAAGTGACCTGGGATATAATCTGAACTTGCTTTCAAATAAACACTGTGGGAAAACTACCAAGTACAAAGGTAATGGAACATGTAAATCCACTCCCCTTCATAGGGGTTTCCAGGAGGCAATGGATCGATTCATTCCACAAGAATTCACCTACTGTGTGTGCCAACTGTTTCCTAAGATTTTCCTCCAGTGTGTTTCTTCAGGAACCATAGTTCTGCCTCTCTGGAAAGAAGCCACAGACCTCAGAGACTCTGTGATTCCAGAGGAGAGGCTCTGACTGAGACACGGGGCTGGCATGTGCCAGAGAAACTATCTCCTGGGTGTACTCAGAGGCAGAGTGATCTACTGTGCCACATCGGAGAGGGTAAAATGTGGGTTGATCATAAGGAAGGAGGTCAGTGCCTTCTGGGAGGCTTCTCTGAGCTGGCTGTGCATCAAATTTACATAAACAAAACACCATGAGAGGAAACATACCTGGCCACTTAAAAGAGGAAACCAGAGCTCCTCCCTCTGCTGTCATGTGGCAGGAAGAGTTCATCAGCCTAGCCTGCAACCCCCAGCCCTGCTGGAAACTCCATGGTGGCTGGGGGTGGAGGGCCTGATAGAAAAGGCATGAGCTTTGGAGACAGAAACATCCTCCATTTGCAGGTTGTGAAACCTTTGGGAAGCTTCACTTCTGAGTCTCAACTGCCTTAATCTGTAAAATGGGGTTCAAACTAGTTTGCATAAGGACTAAATGTGATACTGTGCATGAAGCCTGACATAGAGCAAGTGTTGGACAAACACTGGTCTTTCTGGTCCCTGTGATATTGAGGGGTCCATCCCATCTCCCTTGCCCTGCCTAGGCCTCTTAGCCACTCCATATTCCCTGCAGACTGCTCAGTAATGGGCAACATCGTGGCCAGGCCCAGAGAAAGACAAGCAGAGCTCATCTAACAGTTTTCTCTTCCAAACTCTCCTTAATTCTTCCGTATGTTATAAAGGCAGCAAATCAGAGATTCAGAAGTAAATCCAATTTTCTAACACTTCCAGCCACATTCTGGTTTATTCATTTGTTCTCCCTACCAAATAAAACTTTAGAAAAAGAACCTACTCTTTCTTGAAGGTCATCTGCAGAACCTTTCTTCCCCACTCATCCCTGACCCCCTTCTCCATTCTCAAAAAAGTTAGAATAAAAGATAAAGTCTGAAATAATCCATCCCTCATTTCCCTCATTCTAAGTGAGTATACTGAAGCAGTAAATCTTTTAACTAATTGATGATTATTTCACTTTTCTTCTTCACACTTTCACTATGATAAATTCCTTAATCCCCAAATACCCACTTCAAGTAAGAGAGGAAGGGGTGTAATGGCCCCGAAATGACCTTCCAACATCTATTCTATACACATTCAATTGGCCTTAGGCAATTAACATTTAAAATGACTCTGGGGCCAGGCTTGGTGGCTCACGCCTGTAATCCCAGCACTTTGGGAGGCCCAGGTGGGTGGATCACGAGGTCAGGAGTTGGAAATCATCCTGGCTAAATACAGTGAAACCCTGTCTCTACTAAAAGTACAAAAAATTAGCCGGGCATGGTGGCGGGCACCTGTAGTCCCAGCTTCTTGGGAGGCAAAAGCAGGAGAATTGCTTGAACCCAGGAGGTGGAGGTCGCAGCGAGCAGAGATAATGTCACTGCACTCCAGCCTGGGAAACAGGAGCAGAACTCCGTCTCAAAAAAAAAAAAAAAAAAAAATCTCTGGTCATTTTACTTCAAATAATATAGAGACAGTCCCCAATTTAAAACAGTTCAATTTAGGATTTTTTGATTGTTCAATCTTTTGACTTTATGATGGGTTTATCTAATTATTAAGTGCTTTTCTTTTTCTTTTTGAGACAGAATCTCCCTCATTCACCCAGACTAGAGTGCAGTGGCACGATCTCGGCTCACTGCAACATCTACTGCTACCCCCCGGCCCCACCCCAGGTTCAAGCGATTCTCGTGCCTCAGCCTCCTGAGTAGCTGGAATTACAGGCGCCCACCACAATGCTCAGCTAATTTTTGTGTTTTTAGTAGAGATAGGGTTTCACCATCTTGGCCAGGCTGGTCTCAAGCTCTTGGCCTTAAGCGATCTACCCACCATGGCCTCCCAAAGTGCTGGCATTACAGGCGTGAGCTACTGTTACCAGCCAAGTGCATTTTTGAGTTACAATATTTTTGAGTTGCAATAATTAAAACTCAACTAATATATAGATGCTCAAAGGAACATCTGTATATTACCCCTAAAAGGTTCCATATGAATATAATTTTAATTTTAAATGGGCTAAAAATGCTGATATTTATCACGGTGAATCCCATTATAAAATGAAGTCCCTATTATCTAAGTTAAAACATAAGTCTAGCTTTTCACATGCCAGAAGGAATACTTTGCATCCTGGTTAAAGAGAAAGAAAATTATCTTTAAATCACAAAAGAAACATTGATGCTCTCACTGTGGGATGACAAAGACTCTCTTCTTTGACCAAACTTGAACCAGGTTCTTCTGGGTTTTTTGGGTTTTGAGACAGGGTCTCACTCTGTCACTCAGGCTGCAGTGCAGTGGCACAATCACAGTTTACTACAGCCTCAACTTCCTGGGCTCAAGTGATCCTCCCACCTCAGCCTCCCAGGTAGATGGGACTATGGGCACACCACACCCGGTTAATTTTTGCATTTATAGTAAAGATGGGGTTTTGCCATGTTGCCCAGGCTGGTCTCAAACTCCTGGGCTCAAGTGATTCTCCTGCCTCACCCTCCCAAAGTGCTGTGATTACAGATGTGAGCTACCGCACCCAGCTCTGAGTCCTCTTTTTGACTAGGCCTCGACTTTGGGTTCTATCTTGACCTTCTTAGTCCAGGTCTTAGCAAAAATACTGCTTGGTCATTTTAGTGAAAATCCCCTACCCTTGGTGTCTGGTCCCCCTACCTTCCGTATCTTATCACTCTGGCCTTCCTTCACCAAGAATCCCCTCCAACCTGGATTTTTTTCTCTTAGTAACTTTCTACCTATTGACCCACACCCTGCCCCTTAGCTATAAATTTCCACTTCTCCTTGTTGCATTCGGAGTTCAGCCTGATCTCTCCCCACTACTGCAAATTTTCCACTGTAGTGGTCCCTCTTGAATAAAGCCTTCTCTACCATCTTTAACAAGTAACAGATAATTTTTTTTTTTTTTGAGTCGGAGTCTCACTCTCACCCAGGCTGGAGTGCAACGGCGTGATCTTGGCTTACTGCAACCTCCGCCTCCCAGGTTCAAGCAATTCTCCCTGCCTCAGCCTCCCAAGTAGCTGGGCTTACAAGCATCCACTACCATGCCAAGCTAATTATTGTATTTTTAGTAGAGACGGGGTTTCACCATGTTGGCCAGGCTGGTCTTGAACTGACCTCAGGTGATATGCCCGTGTCCGTCTCCCAAAGTGCTGGAATTACTGGTGTGAGCCACTGCACCCAGCTAATTTTTTTTTCTTTTTCTTTTTTTTTTTTTTTGAGACAGAGTTTCGCTCTTGTTACCCAGGGTGGAGTGCAATGGCGCGATCTCGGCTCACCGCAACCTTCGCCTCCTGGGTTCAAGCAATTCTCCCGCCTCAGCCTCCTGAGTAGCTGGGATTACAGGCACGCGCTACCATGCCCAGCTAATTTTTTGATTTTTAGTAGAGACGGGGTTTCACCATGTTGACCAGGATGGTCTCTATCTCTTGACCTCGTGATCCACCCGCCTCGGCCTCCCAAAGTGCTGGGATTACAGGCTTCAGCCACCACGCCCGGCCTGATTTTTCTTTCTTTAACAGGAAGAGGGAAGCTCTGGAGTAGGGAAGAAGTAGAACTCTGCTGTTAAACTGGAACTGGGAGTATCAGTATGAACTAATCATTTTTTCACAATTATGAGTTTTTTGGGATAATGAAAGTATACATGTTTAAATTTCCAAGTTGGCAGCCTGCTAGGAGCCACAGGATACAAGCATGCCATGAGCAGTGAGAGCTGGCTGACAGGCGTGAGGTGGCCACAGTCAGGTTCTCATCTCTTCCCTGAAACTTGCAGACCTAGATGGTTTCAGAATTAAAAGGTTTTCCAATTTTAGGAAGGTAAAAAGTAGTCTATACCATACACTGTACAATACAGAGTATTAGAGAGCCACAACATAGCTGCAGTGAAATACATGAACATTTCCATTAAGTAGGATAAAGACTATGGAATCAAGTCAGTTCCAGTCTGCTTTTGCCACAAAAATGAATTTTGGCAGCAAATATAAGAAAAAGAAATTCGATTTTCAGAGTTTTTTGGAGTTCAGGATTCAAAGAAAAGCCTATGATCCTGGAGGGCGATAATGACAAAGTCAGATGTCGAAGTTAGATGAGGGTTCGATTCTTGACTACAGGATTCACAAGCTTAGGCGCCCTGAGAACCCATTCCCTGGGATCATCTGATGATTCTGCAATAATTAAAACTCAACTATGAGCTTTAAATGGTCTAGGAGAACCAAATTTCAGGAAGCATTTTCTTCAAGCTTCCTTGGATTATCAGCCTGTTATAAAACTCATGTGGAAAGAAACTTTTATCTGTCTCTGTATCCCCCATAGCACATACTAGATTGCCTCACCTATGGTAGCTTCATGATGATTTATTCAAAGAATAGATAATGCCTTCAGAAGTTTGTTTTTTTCTTTGTTGTTGTTGGTGTTGACACAATTTTTTTATTGCATTTTAGGTTTTGGGGTACA